GCTAAGCCTGACCATTGTGTATGGAACATTAGACTGATCGAATCGAGGCGGACTCTTGTCACAATGCAATACTACAAAGCGGCAAGGGGCGTACATAAAATAATGCCCCATAGCGCCAGCGTCCCATGGACTGAATATCAGTACTGGCCACTCCAAAATGGGATGCAGAAGATGCCGCCCCAATGCGGAAGGAATGGCTTTTAATGCAGACTCTATCGAGCCCTATAAAAGCAAGATCCTCTTGCAATACCGCATTGAACTGGTACTGTGTGAGTGGGCTTCCATCAAAATGACAGAAGTATGGACCCAAAATCTGTGGGCGAATAGCAGAAAAATGCACTAATGCTGAAACAGGGCACAGACTGCAGTCAGTGCTCTCCACTAAACGAATGCTTTGGGGGGAGCCACAATGTTTTTTCTTAGATTGACAAAAATTTATGGTAACATGTATGGGCCGATTATCTGATGTGGGTTGGGAAAATGTTACATCGTGAAAACACAAAACTGAATCCTGAAGGTGCTGGCGAGAGCCCACTGCAAGTTCGCTAACCCACATAAAGCCGAAAAAGGCACTCAGAAAAACTGCACGAAACAAAGTCGATTCAAACTGAGTAAAAACAAATGGCTGGAAGTGAATTAATGATGTCCCTTAGCAATGGTACAGAAATTGGCAATAGAGATCTTTGACAGGGCAAAGCCGACGGGCGCCTTCCAATAATCTGGATACCATAAAATCTTTGGTAGGGCCTGTAAATCTACGCAATGCGAGTACATAGCCAACACTGGATATATATGTGACGATTGTGGAAGAAGATAAGCCCCAAAGAGAGAGCCATGCTATGAATTGGTGGATCTCGCCAACTGAATGTAGGCATGTGGGCATGTGGGCATGTGGGCATGTGGGCTGTGGGACATGGTCTGTTGCTTAACGTGACTGAAAGCCCTCCAACCAGTAGCATATGTTTTGTGTGTTATCCAAAACGGATGCAGCGAGTAAGCGCTCCACCTCATCAGCTACCACTATGAGGCAAAGGAGGGGGGTGGAGTCATAACTGGGTCAGCGTGTGGGGTGGCAAAGCAGAAACCCTCCATCTGAAAACATAACAAAGCATCCGCAATTGTGTTGGACCATCCTGGCACATGTGCCACTTTAAAAAACACATTAAAATGTAAGCACTGTAGCACAAATGGCCTGACTAGTTGCATAATCCGGGCATAGCGTGAAGATTTCTTATTGATGATCTCTACTACTGCCGTTTTATCAGTATTGAAAATGACTTTGCATCCCACCAGTAAAGGGCCCCAACACAGCAAAGCAACATACAGTGGCACAAATTCCCAAAGTCCTATTGAAGGACGTTTGCGCAACAAGTTGGTCGGCAACCGGCTTTGAACCATTTCCCTGGATATATGTTCCGTAACAAATGCTGGCCACTGTATCTGTGAACAGGGACAGGTTATCGTTAGATTCCCATTCACTAGCTGAAAAAACTGAAATGCCATTAAAATTGGACAGGAAGTCAAGCCAAGTCACTAAGTCCAACCTAGCACCTGTGGAAATGCGAACCCTATGGTATGGCCGACAAAGATCAGAACCCAACCCAATTATACGTCACAAAAAGGCCCCCCCCAGTGGTATAGCCTTGCACAATAAATTTAATGACACGACTAGTGATTGATTGTTCTGCAAGGAAATTTTCTTCTTCGACAATGTTCATTCAATGAGTGTAGAGGGGGCTAGCACTTTGTCAGCGGTCTTTTTCAACGTGTTAATTTCTAGGCCAAAAAAAGACAATTGTTGGGCCAGACTGAAAGTCTTTTCATTCGCCAAAGGGACTCCCAACAATTGTACAAAGAGATTGAAAGCAGGACAACAACTGTTCACAGCCTGCAGCTGAAGATCCAATAAACAAGAAATTATCCAAGTAATGGGTCAAGAATTGAGACTGGCTAAATTGCTTGACCTGATATTCAAGAAATGAGCTAAGTTTTTCAAATAATGAGCAAGATATGCTACATCCCATTGGCAAACATCTGTCATAATAAAATCTGCCTTGAAATGTGAAACCCAGCAGGTCATAATCACTAGGGGATATGGGAAGTAAATCAAATGTGGATTTAATGTCAGCTTTTGCTAACCCGCACTCATAGCCAGAGTAACATCATCATCAAATGAAGCGTAATTTACTGCACATAGATCTTCATCAATGAAGGTATTAATCAACTGACCCTCTGGGAAAGAGCGGTGATGAATTAAGTGAAACGAATTTGGTTCGCGTTCGGGAACTAAACTGATCGGGGAGCACTGCAAATTTGGAAGTCACTCAGCAAATGGACCAGCAAGCCTACCAAGAACTATTTCAGCTTCCAATTTCTTATGCACCACCTCTGGACGAACAGCCGCCAAAACTAAGCATTGTGAATCTCGAAGTAAACAGGGACTTGTGTAACCCAAAGTGAACCCTTCTGAGAAACCTTTCAAAAAAAAAGGCTGGTATCCTCCTGAACAGGATAATCAACAAGCAACAAACATAAAAATGAAACATTAATTGGTGTTGGAAGGACGAAAGGAATGGGTCTGGTTGGCTGGGCTTGACGCTGGGCTTAGGATTGGATCTCAATGGCGTACGACGCGACGATACATACGAGCTGGCTTTAGTCATGTTAGTGGGTGCATCATTAGCATGGGGGCTCCGTGCAGGGGACGTACGAGATAAGTTTGAATTGGGACTTATCATCCAATGCATTTGGCCTGCCGATCGGCAACGGGTGGACCATGGCCAGCCCGCATGCATTTCTGGCAAGTGTGTGCAAATTTACAGTTGGGGAAATTGCAGCCTGATGTGGAATTGTAGGCAAAGCAGTGACCAGGTTGGATATTTTTTTGGCGATATGTAGGTGGAGGATTATTAAAAACACCTCTTGCTGCAGGAGAAGTGACGCTCGCCAATGCAACTGTGAGCTGCAGCTCGAAATCAATCAATCAAATCAATCAAGAATGTGCAGTGTTGGTTTCCTGTCCAGGCGGAATTGCTCGTCATAAGCTCACCAACCAAGCCAAGGGAATTGAACGGATCCAGTGCGAATGAGTTTTGCATACTTAAAAAGCTCCAAACAACAGGACAGGTGCTTGGAGATGTAAATTGGCATGAATACATTAAATGCCGACTGCCACATGTCAAACGTTTCTATCTTTTTCTGGTGTACTCCCGGCTTCTTTAAGACTACACTGCCCCCTTCTACTGCCAAAGTCAAATTTGTAGCTTGCTGTTCATTAGACTTTGCAATGACGGCTGTAGCAGTGTCATTATATAATAGCGAAAAATCGACAAATACCCCTTGACAAATTTTGTCGCACGCAGCTTGGGGGACATGTATGCAAAGTGGGGAGACAGAACTGGTTGCTAAGGTTGGGCGATTTTGCCAGGTTGACGGAACGTTTGATATGTCAATGTTGGCTGGTAAAGTATTCAAACTACATTTATTGCAATGAGGGGTATGCCCAGCGGTAACAATCGTAGGGGTAGTTGTGGGAAAAGAAAATCGCATCTGCAAAGGCCTCAACTCACCCCCAGCCACTAGATTAGCACCATTGCCACTGGCAATGCCACTGCTACTCCTGGCAACACGGGCAGTTTGTTGCGTTCCAAAACTAGGTGGTAACAACTGCCTTTCCTGGTACACGGGTGTCACTACAAATGGGGTGAGGCACGCCCATTGTCAATGTCAGTGGATTGTTCAAGTTCGCTTGAATCCAACGAGATGGTCCGGCTGCACTATTAAACAGCATCCCGTTGGATATAGCTGGCATGGCTGGTGGGCTTGATGACGACGACAGGGACATACTAGTTGCCACCGAACGGGCAAAACCCGCCGGGGAGTAGCACTGGCTTGATGTCACAGAGATTGACGCCGGCTGGGTGGGAAACAGCTCTGCTGTGGTGAAGCAGGCAGGTGGGCGAAAGAAACTCATTTCGCTTGATGAAAAGACTGGTGCGGTAGGGATGGAAATTGTTGTCCCAGGCTCGTCAGGTGAGGCTGCTGGCACGATGGCAGTTTCATCCGGGCTGGCAGGTGGAACTCCTTCTGGTATGGGGAAGGAGTTGGCTTGGGACCGACGTCCAGGTCTTGGTGTCCTAGTTGCCCATCTAACCACAGCCGGTCCACCAGTGGCTGCGTCTTCTTCTTCCTTGTCTGCTTGCTCATGGCGGAGCATACTGCGGTGTACATAAATCGGGCCGGTCGTCAACGGGTGTGCTGCAAACTTCCGCGATTCATGGTGTCAAAACTACGTAGCAGTCGGTAGCGTTAGGTTGAGCTTCGACAAATTTTTTTTAAAATTTGTTGCAGAAAAATTCTCCTCTGTTTAGTTCTTGGTTGGCCGTTACCAAGTGACCATGTACTTTTAGAGTCCAAGGGGCCCTACATGGCTGAGCTATTAAAAAGATTTATGATGATGATTCTGCCTTGGCATTCCTCCACCAAGAATTACGGAAACAGTGTCTCCTTGACCACTCGATCACTCAACAACTGCACAGGTTCTGATCAAAAACCCCTTCCCTGAGAATAAAACCTTTTACCATAAATCGGTAAAAGGGGGGATATTATTACGGTCCCAGTGCAGTCACGGTGGTCTGAACGCAAACACGTGTTTAGAGTCATTCGATTCCACATGCTTTGCATATCATGTAAGTCTGGCTCCATGCGGTTCATGTACAGTATATTGTCCACACAATATACTGTACATGAACACGTGTTTAGAGTCATTCAATTCCACTTGCTTTGCATATCATGTAAGTCTGGCTCCATGCAGTTCATGTACAGTATATTGTCCACACAGTTCATCACGTACATATCGTGTACACATACAGGCAACAGTGCTGGACAACAGCCCTGCAGGTATGGCGAGTTCGATGAAAAGTCACCATGGGAGAGCTCAAAATCACTACAAGAAAGAATCTACGCTTCTGACACGATATTATGTATTCTTGTTTGCAGCGTAAAAGGATCGCTTCCAGACACAGAGGGTAATAGAACTATGACTGTGTCTTTATTCTGTGCTCGGGTGCTTCAGTCATCAGATCATGACTACAACAATGGCAACTAGTGGAGCTCACTTGATAACAGTAGCTCAATCAGCACAAGAGCAGCGCTGTAGCAATACCGTAACATAAACAAAGAATGTCTCTGCACTGTAAACACAAGTAAAACACCCCCAAAAATGCAGGGTGCATTGTCCAAAATTGCTTCAAGTACAGTGTAAATTGTTTACCAATCATGCAAAAGATGCATCTTCTAAACAGGATTATTCTTGAGTCGGATTAGCAAAGAATTCATCCTCCCCCATCTTAAGAAGGTTAAATCAAGTACAAAAGTAACAAATCCCTTTTCTGTAAGGTATCATACTCTTTTCTAAAGTCCACGATACACATGGTGTAACAGGCTTTTATTTGTTTGATTTGAGCAAGCTACAGAGCAGGCAGGTCTCATGCTCCCTGGTCAATATGCAGACAGAAATGTTGTCATGGATTGACGTATTGCCTGAGGAGCTCTCTGCACTGATGATATCACTCTACAAGTGGACTGTGGACCCTGACTGGCTCCAAGGAAATGTGCACATGTAAGACAAAGTGTGATGTCGCGTCAGTGCATGGGCCTATGTTGTGTGGCCACTATGCAGAAATAGTGGACAGGCAGCACGTATCCCTCTTTTCGTGTGGCACACCACATGCACAATGGTTTGTGTGCATGGCATGGTTTGTGTGTTTAAAACATCAGTTGAGAATCCAGGATGTATGGCGAGGGCACTGCCAACATATGACATTAATTGAAAATAAATTTCAACAGCTGAAGAAAAGCAACAGGAAGTACTGAAGCAAGTCACATGGCATGATGCATGCAGTTGAACACCACTATGAGTGTCATTTGCCAAGTCTAACCCTATTTAACAAAAGACAAATTCACTTGTCAAGTCAGTGACAATGGTTAAATTAAAAATTTAGTGTTGAGCACATATCCAGGTCAAATAACGGGCATAAATACCCGAGTAACTCAAAACTGCAGGGGAATGGGAAAACACAAAAAATCCCAAAACTACGATATGAGGTACGTGGATTTCAAGCGAACAAAAATTCCTTGTTTTATGGAGTCATCATAGTTATAGGGGGCCTACCCATATACACACCTACAGAGTATACATTACAACTCACTCCACGATGGCTATTGGAAACATTTCTGTGGTTAGTTATCTTCTATTCATGGTGCACCACTCATAAAAATCACCAGTTACTGAAATGTTATCGTGTTCATGAAAAAAAAGATTTTGTTCTATAAATAACACACAAGTTAAACAGCAAACTTTGTGTGACAGTTCTGGAGTCAAGTCCTCAAATCCAAGTATATGTACAGAGTAATCCGAGTACTTTAGGGCCCAAGTTGCAGGCCGAGTACAAGTGCACTGGAGAGGAATCCGAGAACAAAACACGGAGTACAATGTGTGAGTACATTCAAGACCAGCAAATGGGCTGAATCCAAATACTGAAGTAAAAGCCTGACTCCCAGTACAATACCAAGAAGATAAATACACCAAGAAGGTAAACAAACAAATTAAATACATCTACAAGTAGATATACGTGTATATTACTTGAACAAACACACCATGACATAATCATCTTTACAGAGTAGTTAACACTTTCAACTTTTATTTGTGCACATGGACCGTGGAAATGACACGACACTCATGGAGCACAAGCTTAGCTCGGCTCATATCAGCACTACAATTTACTACGGTAAACGCTGTGAAGGCAGAATCTGACAAGTAGAAAAGTGATCCTTACCCATGCTATGGTAAAGCATTATGTACATATTACTCTCTAAATCCGAAAGAGTGAAATTAGGCACAAGACGATTTAGAGTGAAAATCACTCTCAATTTAGATTAAAATACTCTTTACAAAATGATCACTTCAGTAGGAGCTTGAGTGAAAACTCGATCTTTTCGATGGAAGAAATTTCACTGTAAAACGTCTAGTCCCTAGTTTCCAACTGTGGGAGTGGATTTTCACTTGAAAAGACTAAGTTTTCCCTCTTTTGATTTAGAGAGTATACAGACTACAGAGTAAAACTGCTGTGTCACCTTGCCTTGCATTCAAGGTTGAGTAATGCAATCTTTGCTCACCCACTGCCCGAAAATGCTTCAATAAAATGTGAAGTACTTGAATGTTTTTTAGTACAAGGATCAAGTACCTAAGTTTCGAGTATGCCCAAAATCCAAGTACAAGAATCAAGTATGTGGGTCCAGTACAATTAATTTTTGAGTACTGAAATTGAGTATACAGTAGGCTGATGAGTATTCTTGTGATTAGTGCAAGTACTCCAACACTGGAAACTGGGCCCATGGTGGCAATAATCAAGCTTGCTTGAAACCTAAGTTTTGTTGTGATAACACAGTGTGAAGAGAATCACTTGGCAGTATAACAACTGCAGATGTTTCTTTTGGATTGGCATCACAGAAACTTAAAAATAAGCAGATGTTGCACAGTAGGCACTTCGAGTTATGGAGGACTTTCTGTACATAAAAGCCTATTTTTCTGGTGGCAATGATGCCTTTGGAGTTTCAACTGAACAGACTTTGAGGAACATAAGTTTACTGTGTAACGAATTTCAACTATCTGTGCTCTGATTATAAAGGTGAAAAAATGAAAAGAAGAACAAGAAAAAACAATTAAATGTACCACCTCTTGTATGAAAGGACTAAGATCCCCTAACTATTAAAACTGGCATGAATAGATTGCTGAGAGTAATTAAACCTGACCTTACAACACCTTTCAAATTCCACAAGGTATCATTTTGGTGGGAAACATGGGACTGCCCGAGATACACAGGTAGCACATAACCACTATCACACTAGGAGGCTTATCTCTCTTGAGCTGCATGATTGCTAGCAAGGCAAGCTCAGGGACTTTGATCGTGTGGTTATGTACTTAAATATATGTTCTACGTGTAGCATCAGCTCATACTCTACAACCGGTCAATCAAGCCTTCCTTAGATTTGGAAAACAAGACAGAAAGATACTTCCTCAGCACTTCCAACTCTGACAAGACTATATGCCAGATTTTATAAAAACAAAATCAGAAGATGGCAAACAGGCGAAGAACCTGGAATGGGCTCATGCATAAAAAGAGGATTTATTCTCGCCGTGCTCTTGCAATAAAAGAAATGGAATAAACTCCATTGCACCTAGTCACCTCCAAAACCCCAATACAATGTTCCCATGTTGAACTGCAAGTGTGGCTCCATGGCCAATGTAAGTGTACAAATAATGATTTATTCTAGTTTCACTCAGACAACAAAACAAAAAGTGGTACGACAGCAACCGAGTCACCCAAAACCCCGGCAATGCAATGTTTATACAGTCAGCAATTGAAAATCTGTTGACTTTCTATTCAGAAATCAGTCTGTCAGACTTCAATTTTCTTTTTAAAAAATCAGAGTTTCCCTTCACAGCTGAGTGCATTGGGTTCCCATGTCCCCATCTAAAAATGGTTAAAAAAGATGCTGTCCTTGTTCAAGCGTGCAATTCATGGACGTGTCATTTCTCAATGCATCACCAAACCCAGCAAAGTTTTCAAACTGACTTTACATGTAGCTGCCAGCTTTGAAAAAAGAACTCAAAATTCTTTTAAGCATAGAGTATTATGAAGACAAGGCTCATGATGGCAAATTTCAGATGTGCGAAAGAGCATGTTTTTTTTATTGAAGTAAGTAGACTCAAAGATCAAATTATAAAGGAAAAACAGATTTTGCCCATCCCCAGATTTGTTATGTTAAAATTGAAACAAGAAGGAAAACAACTCGGGTAGACGAGATTAGTCAAATGGGAAAAAAGTTCTGGAAGGGCATGCACCAATAACAAATGCCACTCCTTCAATAAAAGCTGTTCAAATTGTAAAAATGATTTCAACTCAACTGCCATGGGAACTGTTTTTTTTACCTTCAAGAAAGGCACTGGGACATGAAAATTCCTGTTGCCTGTGACAGAAGGCTGAAGGAACGGATGACCTGGAAGAGTAGAAACCAGAACCGTGCAGCAGGGATTAATCTAAGAGTGGAGGCAATGACACTTACTGAGTGATAAGAAATGGTCAGGTTAAAAATCAAGTACAAATTAACACGCATGTAACTTGAACTTTGACAAAAAATTTTGTACTCTTTTTTCAATTTTCAATGGTATGAGTGGGAAGCGAAAAATGAGGAAATCAGCTGATCCAAGGAAAAGTTGCATCCCTGAAAACAAACAGAACAATTCAGGGCAAATTCGCTAAGGGCAATAACTTTGAGATCTTGCATAGACAGCATGATACTGAAGAGCCGCCATCCTCATAAAAGTACAGTAATTTAAGATATGTCATGTGCGATTTATTTGTGAGCAAAATAGCTCACCTTGGAATGCCAGCTATCAGCCATCCAATAACATTTTAAATAGCAAATGTGAATATGGAATGCATTCAATAAAATGTTAAAGGCTATAGCATGAACTGTTTGACTGAGGTGATTTGAGAGCAAGACAGGTGGACTTGTCAGCCTTTTGGAACTGGGCTACTAAGCATGGCAGCATTATTAGTTCTCAAAGGTGCTATTTGTTAGTACAGTGGGGAAAAATGACTTGGATATCATTGCATACAATGGTTGTGAAGAACTGGTAAGAGGAAACTTACTATCATGCTCGGACTTGCTCTAAGTTGCTCGTTGATCACAGATAAGGGTTCTTGATTGAAATGAGCTCTCTGCATGAGAACATTGGTGACCCCCGGGGCAGGGGGGCAGAGCATTTTGAGCCAGGATACCATACGTCAGAGATTCTGGCAGTGGATGTACTGCCAACTGCACACAGGCAGGTAGGGTTCCTGAAACAGTTCAAAGAATTCAAGATATGATACATGTAGGCCTCTGGTTGTTGTTGGTATGTTGGTGAGGTAGGCCTAAACCTTCAAGCTGGCTCGACTTGCTTCCATCATGTAATTTGAAGACACAGATTTTGTCTGCAAGAACTTTAATAGAGAAGTAAACATTACATATTATGAAGCCAAAGCACATGACTTGAATTTGAAGCAGGCTAAACTTACAGTGTAATGAAATTGATAAGCAGCAACAGCAGCAACAAAATGAAGAAAAAAAAATTAGCAACTGTCTGACTAGAGTTTCCGGTTTAATAAGTCACTCTGCCGGGGAAAGGGGCCCTGGAAGAGTGCACTGCTTTTTTACAAGACAAAATTGACAGTCTTTTGATTGGTTTTCAATGTGCCTAAAAGAGTTGGTGGCAACATCAATACCAGCATCAAGGTACTAAAAGGAGAACTGGAGCTGAGTGTAAATATCACAAGTGGAGTGCACCACTCCCCGTGCAGTACTGAACGGAAGTACAGGTGAACCAGCGTTGGGTCCTAGGATGGAATGCAGCGCGTGGACGACAAAAAAAAATTATGGTGCTCTATTCAGGCCACCTTCCGGCGCCTTTCCATTTGTGCGTCAACACTTGCGCCACGCGTTGCGTTATCTGTCAAAATCGCTCCCGGGGCGGTCATACGTACGACCAAATGCATCGCACCCGTGTCTTATGTTAATGGTGCCATTTTTTGTGTCTGTGATAGTGGGACGCATGAACACATCGTGTACGTAACGCACCCAATATGAAAAGTTTGAACTAGTAACCTTTGTTTACTAAACAAAGTTCTCCCCGCTTAAGCAAATTTTGTGCTTAAGCAGCTCTATGAAACTGGTCCCATTTCACTAATAGATTATAAATTATGTGTGCATGCGCATAAACGGCCAATGTAGACAACAAGCTTAAGCGCCCATTGAAAAGGTATTTAAGGGAAACTTTATTTCAACGACATTTTCTCTCTGCGTCTGCATTTTTTTCACTTTTATCTTGGGAAAACATTCGCTTTGACATTCACCTGTTGTGTGAATCGGCCTTTACTTTCGCAAAAGTGTTGCGTTACCTTAATTCGCAGTAAAAATATATTATGGCTGGCACTTTTGAGCTCCCGTAGTAAATCAAAGCGAACAGTACCTATAGTACCACGGGAACAAAGGTTAAAATTGAAGGGGAATTCCCAAAATTGTCCTGAGTTGTCCCAAACACTGCAACGAGTACCATCCGTTTCTCTTTAAACTAGTCAAAGTGTGACACCTATAGGGTATAGTCTTGCCACTCTGAAACCCTCAAACAAATTCATACCGAACTCTGGAACAGAACACCGAAAGATTTTACCCATATGACAAGGTAAGTAGCGCCTGTATTGGCCTTTGCCTTCATTGCTTACAGTGCAACGTTATTGTACATGTACGGTACACAGTACTTCAACACTGAGTGCCTTCAACAATTAAGGTAAAGTTTAATATTTATTATGATACTTTGATAGATGTCCGACAACCTGAACCGTGTGTTTTTATGGTGCGTGCCTCGCACGGTGTCCACAGCCTTTTTGAAGTGTATCAGCTTTGTCGAAGGCCTACAAGTTGTAAACGAGCCTTACCAGTGCGCCTTCCATTCGGGTCCGGAGAGGAAAAGTCCACAGTTGGATTTAAGTTCCCCGGTAGAGAAACGCTTGGCGGAAATACTTGACCACACTTCTGCCGATGGGGACGTCCGTTGTTTCGATGAGAAAGACTGTACATATGGCTGGATACGAGACGAACTTCTCGAGGCTTATCACCCATGCAAAAAGATACTCTTCTGCAAAGACATGGCTTTTTACCTCGATGCTAAATACCACATGCTACCTAAAGGTTTCCGGCACAGCTTTCTGATCCGACACCCGGCCAAGGTTTTCCTGTCTTGGCGAATGTCGCTGCTGAAAACGTTTGGTGAACCCTGCGCAAAACACATGGGCAACTTGCAAGAACTGCCGGAATGCGTGTTTCCTGCAGGTTGTGGATTCAAGGAGCAATATGACTTGTTGGAGTACGTAGAGAGGCACCTGGACAAGGAGCCAGTTATTCTTGACATTGATGACCTCCTCAGTGATCCACCTAACATCTTGTCGGCTTACTGTCACAAGATGGACATTCCATACAGTCCAGGTCTGCTCTCTTGGCAAGCTGGAGGAGCCATCGCGGACACATGGATTGCATCCAAGGCCATGGTCAATGCCAACAAAATTGGAGGCTTTTACGACGACGCTCTTCAAAGCACGATGTTCCGGTCTCCAGAACCCCCTCCAGTAATCGAGAATCTTCCCGTTGATGTTCAGGCTTGTGTGAAAGCGTCCATGGAGTATTATGAAAAGCTCCACTCAAGGCGCATCAAGCCTTCGTCACCATGAAACACTGGATTGCTCAAATCGAAATGATTAATTCCTAAAAACTCCTGCTACCAAAATGAAGCTGTTGGCACCAGCAGACAGAGCCTTTGTCAAGCTGTACATCCATAGATTTTAAGGACATCTCCTCGCTTGTCTTCCTTTTAATCTTTTCTCACTCAAATCAGTGTTGTGAACGTCATGTCCAATGTGTTCTACCACGAGTAGCCGTTGTAAAAAGTTACTTTTCCGTCAACATTAAGTTAAAACAACTTAGATCTCAATTTTAGCACTTTTGCATTCTCCTTTGACATATTCCAATTTTTATATTGAATCCATTAAAGATATTTTGTCTATTATAAGAAAAGTATTTTAAGAAATGTTCGTGATACTCAAACTTCCTTGTGCGACTTTTTCAAATATGCATAAATCAATATGACTCTACTTGCATATAATTACACATGTCAAATTTTATATCGCACAATCAGCCGCAACGAATCTAGATAACCTGTACAATGCATCTACAACTTAGAAACAGTTTTCGGATATTAGATATATGCGTTTGGTGAAGATGCGAGTCCCTCAGGCTTGTCACTTATTCCGATATTACATACAAAGATGTCTTCCTACAGTTCAGCTTTGTTTGAAACTATGGCAATATGTCAAACGCCATGCAAGAAGTCTTCTGAAATTTTGACTGCGTGTATGATATTTTTTTTGTTTTGCGGGTGTGGGGCGCAATGTTGGGGGAGGAGGGGTGAAAAAAAAAACACCGTGAGCATAAAAAACGACAGAGGTTGTTCAGTTTGAAATTTAGTAATCTTGGGATTTATTAATTTATTAATCACTTGAATGCGATACTGGCAAAATATAACCTGAAGGCATTAAAGATCACGGGATTAAAGCCTGAGCCTCCAGGGTTCATGCTTCAAACACTTAAAGATCTTCCAGAGTGAGCATAGTTATGCTGATGTGATAACACTATAGCAGACACCATAAATGTTACTCCCTGATGCACTAGATTTATGGGGAAAGACGATGTGCAGAATACCCCTCATCCTTGCCACGGGCTGATAACAGAATGAGTGCACTGCAATGTTTACCAAAGATGTGGAGCAGGGAACGATCAAATGCTACTCATTATAATAATGCACAACGACAGGCCCAGGAGATATCCGGGAACACTCTAGATACACGTGTCTGCAGTATATACGCGCTATTCTCTAACAAGCTCGGGATAAAAGGACAGTGTACAACAGGTTGCCTGCGTAACGATAGTACTGAAAATCGCCAACACAGTTCACCTCTTACGATGGCTGCCGCTAACAATCAATTATATCGCGTTTGTCGAGTGTGCCGAGAACGGCATCAAACCCCTTCCTTAACCCTAATAACATAGCCGAGGGCGGAATGCGCCCCTCCGCCTCGACATTTTTCCCCAATATATACGCTGTGCATTTTTTTTTCGTTTTATATTCGCCACCGGTGTTCCCGTCCTGATACAATGTCATACTGGAGAGTTTGGTTGAACTAGTATGTGCGCGCCATCTCAAGGAACATATCGAACTATTTCGTCTCCGTAAAAGGCAGATTTGAGGAGTCGTACAACTTGGTAACCGAACCTAGACCCGGAACTTGTCCTCCGTGAAGCAGACAATCTAGGTGATCTGCTCGACATCTTGGCATGAGATAGGCATCTAGCACCGCCCAAAGCTACCATCTTGGGAGGCAGGGAAGTGGTCACCGAAACGTGGACGCCGTGGAAAACCCTGATGTATGCCAACCAGTCTGGAGGGTTCTTCAGACTCGGAGGGACCCTATATACGAGCACGGAGTTCCGTCGACCTACACTTATTCCGTCAGTCGAAATAAGTTTTTCTCACGGTCGTCCAAGCACGTGTGGGGGGTTCAATGGAGTACTACGAAAAGCTGTATGATAGGCACATCAGGCCCAAATATCAAATTGACTTAGACATGTTGGATAACACATCAGAACTGATTTATTTTTTGACAAATTTGCGTTTTGGTGAATGAACAACAGTGTTTGGCAAGCAATGGTTAAAACTGGGACGTATAACTTCAAGATATGTTGACGTTCAGACATTCATTTCTCTCTGTATCTGCTCAGACGTTTCCACAGGCCTTTTTCTAAAACCCAGCAGGACAATAATTATTTCAAAAGAGGGTTCCTTCGGTCACCTGCTCGGACCCCAACTATTTTTAGTCCCACCATTTGATCCATTCCTATAAAATGTACACTTTAACAGAAAACGTGGGCATTATGTTGACGCATTACAGACAGCGTAGTTGACAGTCACTCAGTGACATCAGTATGAGACTTAATCCTATCCAGCAAAGATTAAAAAGAACAGTCATCGGTTTTGCATTATAGTTGCCTGTTGAAGATACAATGGAATTTTGGGGGGAAAATATTATGGTCTTTTTGACACAAGGTTATTTTTCTTTTTCAGTCTGTAAAGTACGACTTTTGAACAAATAACCCATTTACAAAAGATCATGCACGTTCAATACATAAAGCGAGTACCAACACACAGTCGTATCATTCAATGGTTGCATTTGCACTAGTATGGAAGACTATCAAGTGGACGACGATAAAAATCCGATAACGCTCATAATTCTGAGGGTCAAAGTACATTATTTCCAATACAGACTGCTGAATGAAACTTGTGGAACAACTGAATATGGGCAAATGCCGAAAGGCTACCAGTGCCGTCCATGTCGGTTTCAACCCATCGTACAGTTCTATACCTTCCTGGTCACGACATTCAGCGCCGGTATATGGCAATTCGTAATCAAGACTGATTTAGCATGTTGTCTTTTCTGACGTTTTATTTGAGGGGGGGGGCGCTGTGACTGAGCTGTGCGCCGATTAAACACAGCCGAGAATCATTGAATTACTGTTTGAAGTTGATTTTTAAATGGAAAACAAACTGAATTTACACAAAATCACTAGACACTTGCATTGAATGAGCCTTTTCAGCACTGTGGATAAAGAGTAATAAAGAGTCTTGAAAAGAACAAAACTTGATAATGTTTTGTCTTCTAAATGCATGTTTAGACCCACTGTTCAATAAAGTTAGATACATCAACACGTCGTAGGCACCACCGCAGTGTATGGAATTCCATATCTGCCGTCGCCCGTCACCCGTCGTCCG